GAGTGTTGAGTGCTGGGTAGTAAGTATACTTTTTGCTGCCTTGTGCAATAGGATCCTCCTTAAGAATAAAAGTGGTATAACAGCTTTGGATTCAACTAGCTGCCGGTGAAAAAACATAGACTGTAGTAGCACTGGACATATTGTTCACTGGTATTCACTGTGATCTGGCGCAGCTTGAACTCCTTAAAGTAAATGGTGACTGATTGTCTCAGTCAAAGAGTTGCTTGTAGCCCTGCAGCTAAAAGGCCATTGCAGCCACTAAGCACCTGTGATCCAATGCTAATGCTACTCCTGACTGTAGGAACGGAGGCCAGTTATGATCCTGGAGAGAACAGGGTTCCCTCAAAGTAATGAAACTACTGCAGCCAGGCAGAGCGGGAGAGAGACACACACAAATGCACACCTACACACAGATAATAAGCTGCCTCAATCCTCCACTTGTCACAGCAGCAGTAGCCTCATGCTGATTTCACCACTACTGATCTATTTCAGATTGCTGATCATTATACTGCACCTCTGCTGGTTAGCCACAGCTAACAACCTGTAGACAGTACACTGGGACTCCTAACGCTGTGGAATCAGTATAAATGACTGAAATCACTGTAAGGGTTACTTTGGAGCTAACTAGCTGTCCTGAGTTAAATAAACCACTCCAAATGTCTGTGGTCATTACAAAAGGACTGATGGCTGTGATTTCAGAGAGCTAACATCCCGCATAGGTGAAGGAGATCAAAGAATTAATCTGCATGCTTGTTGTGCACCACAGACTTTCTGATGACTCGGGTTGTGATTGGAGCCCTGATCCTGTCATGCAAGCCTTGAATTATGTTCACTGTCGGCTGACACATCACATCACATGCGCCTCACTAGTGAAATAAGGAATATGGCTGTGAGATTATTCAGTTGTATCTATCAATCAGCAGAATTATATAGGGAGGCTTTAAGTAAATCTCAAATTTTCTTGCTATGATCATTACAACAGGCATGCTGTAATGACTTGAATATCAAGAGTCTCTTTTTCGCCTTTTTGCAAGGCTTTTCTTTTTATTGTGATTACAGTCAAACAGTAGTTGAGAAAAAGGGGCATAACATAAATACTGTATAATGATCTACACTTTCTTTACATAATTGCTCTACTGCATGTCATCAACAGGCTCTGAAAATTAATGTCCAAACTCTCCATATGGAAAAGCAAGGACGACATTTTCAAAAAACAATTGGGAGAACAGTAATTCATTTTATATTACACATTGCTATATAATCATCTTGCCAATGGCATCATTAACCACGATTCCTTCTGTCTGTGGATCAAATTGTCCCCCAAACAGCTCATCAGCAGCGAGCTGTTCGAATTTCCCTTTTGGAAATTACACAAAACAATGGCCACCAGTGGAGCGGTTTTGTGGCTCGTGAGCTGATATGCAGCCATATTAGTAACCTTAACTACCGTACGCCTGTTCCTCTATTACACAGCGGCACTTTTATGACGGCAATCTGTGGTGACTTTAGAATGCCTTGTCTCATCATTCAAGTGCTGCTTAGGCCTGTTGTCCTCGTGCGGATTTAAGATAGCGTTCGTCACCTTTCATCCTTTTCTGAGGCAAATACGTATTTTGTTACCAGTGTGAGACGTTTCATTGGACGGGGAGATCATGGCCGGAGCTACACGGGCTGCTATTATTTTCAAAGTGGAGAGATGATGGATCCGCCAAGCGGAGGGCGTTTAACACAGACCTCTGGAAGAACTGAAGTGGTAAGGGGCGAGCTACTGGATACAGGCCACCCTTCATTAAACCACTAATATTACAGGCTATTAATTATTCAGAGTAAGGTCTTATGACACCATACATCAATGGATATGATGAGGCTGGTTATTAATTTATCTGAGTATTCCTGTGTGAGGGAAAATAGTCTAATTGAGAGATGGTAGTAGTAGGTCTCTGCATGCTCAGGTCCCAATTCACACTGCACTCCTGTCTCTGTTTTTATTAAACCTACAGAATCTGTGAAATTCTTTCAGTCTTTTATATGTCTGTGTCCAGGGATCCGTTGTCTCAGAATCTATCCGTGGCTATTTTGAGTTACAAATAGAAGCCATTTATTGATATCATTTCATTAGAAGAAATATTTAAAGTTGTTAATTTGGTTTTCATTTATTACACTCAATATTGAATGAACATATAACTATTAATAACTGTCATTGCCAAGAACCAGGGCTTTAAATGCGTCTTAACACATTTAGCCCACTCCAGCAGCCAGCCTCTACAGCTGCATCTGATTCTCTCTTTGTATGCCTTTAGAGAGCCTCTGAATTTCCACAATGTGATGTCATGGACTTCTCTGACAGAAAATATATAATAGTGTCTCACCCCTTTTTTCCGTTTCCACCCTCTTGCTTTTGATTACCTATGTCATCACACCTTTTGTGCCGATTAAATCTAAGGTATCGGAAATTGTGTGTTTAACTAATTTATCTTGCCAAGCTATTCTCTCACCAAAAGAGCTTCATCCTTGTAATTACAATGGATTAGGGACTAATATCTAATTTTGCCTTAATATGCTTTAATGCATTTTTAATGGCAGCTGGGTGTTAAAGCCGAATTCGGTGCCGTCTCTGTTGGGGGTGGGAGGTGAAGACTGAGGGAGGGAAAGGGTTTCTTGGCAGTAGAGGCTGGAGGGAGGATGGGAAACATTGATTTCTTTGGCTGAGGTTACAGGAGCCTAGCAGGGAGGCAGCTGCTGCATACTGAAGTCATTCCACGTTAAAAATGTTGCACCAGCCCTGATATGCAGTAAAATGCATTTCCCTCGCCGCTGTTTTATGTCAAAGGAGGGAGGGCACAAATGCCTGTTTGAATTATGATCTGGAATAGAGACTGTTTATTGATTTGCTACTTTATGAAGGGATGACTACATCGCCAAGACAAGTGAGATTGAGTACTGCTGGCAGCCGAAAATAGGGTTGAGTATTTAATTATGGATGGATTGGACAGAAAATACAGTTAAGACATGCTATGGTCTGGAGAATCCAATGTTCTGAAAACCAAAAATCAGGCCTATATTTATGCAGATACGTACACAAATGCACACACTCCCAATTTTTAAGGGTCAGATCTATAGTGTATGACGAGCACACTGAACAAATAGATATTCTCCGATGCAAGCCTGCATGGATTTATAAATGTATTCATACTCGCTGTTTGTTTGTCTATGCATGATTGTTTTCCACAACAATATTCCATTCATCATTTGTTTCCCTCTTGTTTATTCTAATAGGCTGTAGGAACAAAAAAAATATCTGCATAATATTTCAAAGATTGATTGGGATGCAAATTGCCTCATGAGCCCAATTGGTGTGGCTTGGCCTGTTTTAATTGGGTTCTGTTAATTAATGCTCAATGTGAAGACAAACTGAATTACTTGCAGGTTTTGCGCATGTCATTATCTCCTAATTGTGCCAGTAGGAAAGTGTGTGTGTGCACTCCATGTGCATGAGTGTGTACGCATATTTGGTGAACGCTTTTTTTCACTTGCATGATCCTGCATCTTGCACCACACCTTAATAACAAACAAGGGTCATTAAGTTAATGCACCATTAGGAAGCTACGTTCTAATGTTTTAATCACTGAAAGACTAATAAGAGAAAATATAATTTATTTACAGGCTATAAGTGAATGCATTAGGCTTGTCAGGAATACTGAGGTGTTTAATCTTAAAGTTAGATACATTTTCTTTAATTAGAAATGGACCTCATGAGAAATTCCAAACAAATGAATTACTGGATGACTGCACTTGACATGATTTCTCTTTTAAATAATACAAATAAAAACACTGCACAGGAGTATCTTCAGTGGTAGCCCCTGTACATCCATTTTGGGTATGTACCTTGCATAATCTGAATTATTCCTGCAAATAATTTATTTTGCACAGACCCAAAAATCAGTCGTTTCCGCAGTGCTTGTACTTTACCTTGAATGAAAAGAAAACAAAATTTTAGAAAATGCTTCCACACTTGAAGATGGATCCAAAGATGTAGCAGCAATTCAGCAAGCATGCAATGAACAGTGGGTTATCTCCTGGACCTCTATGCTGCTGATGAGATACACATGTGTAGCTTGAACTGCAAAGCAGCAGAATTCATATTTTCAGACCATTAAACAGAGGATGCTACATCTCAAAACCCTCCATGCAAACATACAAACAGTCAAAACGCCTCAAAGGGTAAAACGGGAGCGTGAATCATTATGCCACCCATCATGACCGCTGAGCGATTTATCCTGCCAGCCAGTCACTGAGTCGAGGAGGTCCTCAACAGCAACAAATAAACATATTAATGTGATCAGTCGTGCTCCGAGAGGTAGCGTGCAATTAACGGTCGTCTGTTACTATGCGGACCGGAGTGTCGTTAGTGCCAGGGTGACCTTGAGGAGCCTCGTTAGGGAAATGATTGACATGGCAACTGTTGTCAGTGGTAACGCTGACAGTGGTAAGGGAGGGATGGACAGACGGGTAGGCCGGGTGGCAGGGCTGCAGGTGGTAGACAGTGGGTGTAGAATGCACCTGGGATGTTATGAATGAGATCTGGCTTCATCAAGATGAGAAATGACACAGACAGCAGAGCTCTAAGAAAGAGATGAGCTGTGTCGCTCCAAGTTTTTACCGCAAACTTGATCTGACAACATTGTTTTGTCTACAGAAATGCAATGTGGTTCACGGATATGAATGTGACTAGACAAACACTTGACAAAGCAAATTACTGCACCTAATAAACAGAGTGATTATGACTCACTTTGCATAGCCATTAATGGTTGTGGAGTGGATTGTCAAGTAACTTCCAACCACATCAACCACTAATCACTCAGCAACAGCTCCAGTACAAATCCCGCGTTGTTTTTTTTACTGCTTGACATAACAACACTTGAACTGCAGAATAAATGGATGTCGGGAGTCCATCTTCCATGACAGCCACTGTGCAGGTCAGTGCAAGTGCAACATTGTACCTGTGATGTCGTGCTGTTTGAAGGAGTCGCTGTAGATCTGGTGCTGATTGGGACAGTGTTTCTTCAGCCATTTGCACACGTCCTGCTGGGTCCACAGGGCCACTGGCTTGGACAGCTTCACATATCCTGGCTAAGACAAACCACAAATTTTAATTCAGCATGCTTTCACAATCTGTTACCCTGCTTAAATTTTCATTTTAGAAACAACACACGTCACAACACCTAAAGCAGTGTACCAATTTTTTACAAGCTCAATGGACTGTTGCTTGGTTGTTGTTCTGGTTTAGAGGCCCTATATGTACAGTATGTACATGTATTAGTAAAGCCTAGGGGCACCGTTTGTGGACTACCACTTTCACATTTTGGTGAGAGCCTATGGTTTCAGGACTCCACACCGTTGTCGTCTTCTACTTCACGCCATATTAATGCAGTCATGTGACACCTTACATGCCTTGGCCTTCCACTTGTCATATAATATTTACTGGCTGCTGTGTGACAATTCCCCTCAAGGTTCAATCTTACACACTAAAAGGAAAAGACAAAAACACATAACTTAAAGTCAATAAAGACAATACATATAATATAACACAATATTTATACAATCTAAAGCTGGGCAGAGACTGTACGATTTTACGTTGTGTTAAGTCACACTACACTATTTATTCATCTTATCTGTCAAAACGACTTTGGTGGCCACACTTTAGAGTTTGATCAACCAGGTGCAGCATTGTTGCTCTTGTTGAATGTAACTACGGAACCCCTGATCTCAAAATGTGGACAAGAAGAGAAAAGCAGTGTTACTTGTACAATCCCAGCATTGAGGTACCCTGGGAAACTTTAATTATAGATATGTTTTTGTTAACGTTTAGTTTTTCTCCCCAAATTGCACTGACAAGCATGTTGAATTAAATTTCCTTTTTCAGAAAAAAGTCCCTTTGAAATCTGCATTACTTATAGTATTTATTGACAGATTGCTACCTTTAACAGCACATTACCACCACCAAATGTCTTTTTCTAACTAGTGCAAAAACAACACAGTCCGAAAACCAAGAAGAAGCTGTTAACAAAAAGCAGCAAGTCCTCACATTCAAGAAGGTAAAACCAGAGAATGTTTGGAGTTTTTGACTGCAATGATTAAATAGATTTAAACACAAGCAGAATAAAAGGGGAAAAAACAAAAAACATAAAGGCACAAATTTCTGTTGCTATGCCTCACTGCCTTTTGAACCCCCCCCCCCCCACACACACACACACACACACACAACCACACAACCACATGCACACATGTATAAATTATGTGTGTCCTCACGCATGTTTTGACAGAGCTTTAGATACAAACAATACATTAAAGAGCTAATCAAAATATTGCTCTCACGGCAGTGAAGCTTTCATCCAACTGCACAAAAGTATGACATTTAATATAGGTGATATTACAATGCATGTAATAGTATACACATATGCACGTATCTGCATTGCACTGTACTCTGGTAAATACTACATACTTGGGTATTACAGTAGCCTGCCAAAGTATCACTCTTGAAAGTGCTGGCAATGCGTTTGATTTTGATTGAGGGGCTACTAAAATTACAGAGAGAGGTGATTAAAATTTCACATCCACTCCCCTCCACTTCAGCCTGCTCTCTGGCTGCCGTGTGGTGTAGCATAGCAATGGAAGCCCTTCTCCTCTCCACCCAGAGAAAGCAGAATAACAGGTACTGGCTGCACTTCCTCTGCTTTGCCCTCTCGCTCTTTCCCCAAGCTCTCATCTCTCCCCCATATTCAATCTCGCTCGGTCCCTGTCAGCTCTATCACATTGTCTTTCTCACTTCCTCTCCCCACATACTATGGCTCTCATCTTTCCCATCTACCTCTCTCTCACCTATTTCATATTACATGGTACTACCTCACTCTCTCTGTGTCTGTATATCTTGCATCCCAGAGAGAAAGAGAAATTGAGGGGAGATGTATATGCAGGCTTTGGCATGTGTCTATCCCCTGCAGGTAGGCGAAGTGACAAACAGCCAAAGCAGGCAGGTAAGTAGGCGGGCAAGGCCAACTCACTTGCTTATCTGCCTGTGTGGATAGATGCTGAACCTGCAGGGAGGGGATGGAACGGTATCGCAGGAAGATACCATTAACCATTAAACACAGCTCAACTCAATGCTAATTAACCCTGACTAGGAGCCCGAGGCTACAAAAGAGAAAGGGAGGCCCGGATGGAGAAAGAGTGAGGGACAGAGTGCAAGGAAGAGGGAGAGGAGTGTGTGAAAGAAGAGTAGAACCAGCAGGCGAGAATGGAGAGGAATAAAGTGGGAGGGCAGAAGAAAAGGGGAGCCAGTGCTCCAGAGCGGACTCTGCAGAATTTGACACAGGAGACTCTCTTATTTTCCATGAACCCATTTGTGAGTCAGTGGCCATCTGTGTTTTACATTCTGCACTGATTTAGCCCATAGCTGTGTTCCCGGGGCTGGTACAATAGGTGAGCCGGTGCCTACCAGCCAGCCAACAGAGCTAAAGGGCGGAGAGAAAACAGCAGAGAGAAGAAAACAGGAGTACATTCATGCTCAAAGAGCTGTGTTCAAGAGACTCCAGGCCAATTAGAGATTTGACTGACAGCGCAGGGGTGAGGAGAAGCCCGCTTTATTCCTAACTGCAATATGTCTGGGAATAGGTGCGCGCACACACACACACACACACACACACACACACACACCCCCCATGTGTGCACCCACACTGAAAGAAAAAACAATTGATGAATACAATGTATACACACATTCAGTACATCTATGTACAAACACACACAACCATCCAATTCCCATGTGTGCCAACTTGCATTCACCGTGGCGCTTGTCCTTGGCTTTAATTGATAACTGAAAACCCTGTACAGCTCCCAGTATTTTTCACGTTACCTTAGCAACAGAGCAAGGACAACCTCAAAAATTAAAAGATGAAGAATAAAGCCTTTGGGGAAACGCACAACCTGCACATGAACCAGAGTGTGGAATAAACATCCGCACATTAACGACCACAGTGGAAAACTATTACTTACATAATGAAGCATGTAATCGCCCTAACACTGATAAGCATTTAAAGATCCAATATGAATGTACTCAGCTAAATTAATCAAGAGGCAATCATATGGCGCCTTTGTGGAGACAATATTGGAATACAAAAAGATTTTGGAATGAAAAATGCTGAAAAGCGTTCCAGAAACAAACACCATTTGACTGGAAGAGTGAATATGGTAGCCATGTTGTGTATAGCAGTAGTTGTTTCTAAGGAGTACCCCCTCTTTGTGTAGTGATTTTCATTTTGGCTTGCAGATTGTTAGGCTGATTGCAGGGTCATATGGCTTTACACTCAATTAAAAATGTTAACTATAGCAGCAATTAGCGTATTTAATGACATTTTTTTGATATTCATTTACTGTATTTAGTATTAAACTGGCCACAAAGACCTTACAGTGTCAAAAAGATTTCACAGTCAGAGATTTTTGTGTACTTCCTAAAAATAACTCAAATTGAACCTCAACCCTGGATATTTCCCCAGACAAAAGAAGTGGGCAGAGTTCATTTATTGAGCAAATGCATACAAGGGCAAAACAAATATTCAATAGCTCTTTGACAGCACAAGAGCTGTTACATTGTTCAGAACCATTACAGTTGTCTAGCAGCCTTCATCAGGAGCAATATTGTTTGTTGGATGAAACATGGCCGTGTTCAAAACAATGCAATCACAATTCATTGTCCAGTTGGGTTTTGAAAAACACGACAGCATAACACGTCACACTGCAAAGCCATTTCAGTCATTTTTCTTTACACTGTCTATTCATTTCATATTTTATTTTCATTAAAAAAGGGAGAAACTGAACTTTTGAGCAGTTTTATATATCATATCTCTAATGGACATTTTTGCCTAAAGCAATATTGCAAAGTTCTTAAAACCTCTACCTATAGGAAGTTTTATTTCAAAGACTATCTTAAATATAAGCTGGGAGGGGAGAAGGTTATTTATTCATGTACAGTATTTTCAACAGTTATAATACATACTTTTCCTATGAAGACATATTTTACTTAACTGTTAAATTGTTATTCATTATCTGTCTTTATATCAGCCTCTGGTTATGGATACCTCACAGGGTTAGTTTAAGTTGTTTAAACTACATCAATAAAAACGAAAAAATACCTTCTATCTGCTCACAATTACATTATTGTGTGTTATAAATCCTTAATTAAATGTTCATATATTGCTTATAAATGCTAAATGTAGGGGTTAAAATTAAATGTTACCATACAGTATATCTGTGTGCTTCATACATTTTGCTCTGACGTTTCAGTAGGTACATTTAAAGTACTACACAGAAATTCAATTCTGACTCTGTTTACTTTTTCCTCCCGTTTATCTTATCAATTGTCAAGAATAATAGAGAAAGTGCAAGGTTGCACTAGACTGTGATCCTTTCCCTATCTATATTGAACTTTCTTACAGTGAGATGCGCTGCTACATACTACCCTCTAGTGTCACAAATAAACACAGCAACCACTTTATGAGACAGAAAAGCGCTGCGAGGAGGGCACTGCCATTAGTGTCATGTTGACAGAGTGAATGGCAGTTTGAGACACGGAGCCCTGCATCGCCTGCCCTATCTCCACTGCACTGCTAATTAACAGCTCTGGCATGCTCTCTCTCGCTTTCCTTTCTCTCTGCTTCGCTCTATTTCTCTTGGCCAGAGCTGGCAGGAGATGAAAATTCCCTGTATTAATTAATATGTTACATATAGGAATGGGGATGGAACCAAGATATGTAGGTGGGTGTGTGCGTGCGCACATGTGTGTATGTGTCCAGAGAGCTGTGGACTGCTGACAGAGAATAACATGCTGACAGAGAATAACACGCTATGCTGGATAGATTAATAAGCCTTCAGAAGGAGCCCCTGTTTACAGGCAGTGCCAACTTTACTTAGAAACATCAAAGAAAGCACGCAAGACCGCTTCACAGTCCCAGAAGTTAGGATTCGGCAGGGTCCATAGAGCTTTGCAGTTATTGTTAACACTAAACAAGATACAGTATATTCACCTTGAGCTTGATATTCATTATGACTGAGATGAGCTGATTTGCTATGGATTTTACAGCCATCCACCAAGTCTAAATGGCTGTTTTGTGCCTCATGCTCAATATACGGCTCAGCCTTGGCTCGATTACAAATCAAGCCAGGCGCAGGATTCTGCTTTAATCTAATATTTAAAAATGAATTCTGCTGATGTGATTAACTGAAATGACCTATACTTCACTTTTCTACAGGTACGTACAGTTCTAAGGTCTGGATTTATTACGTCTTCACATTTTTTTTCCAGAGCTAACTTAGGGATCATTAAGTACTTATGCTCTACATGAAAACCAGATGGATGAGCTTTAATGTCTTTGATTTTCCTATAACAAAACAATCCTCAGCATATTTTTGAGTACATCATAGTCAACAGTCCTGACAAGATGTTGAGTTTCCCACCAGTAAGCCGAAACCAAACACTGTGCATTATGAATAGGGCAGGGTATCAAACCTGAATGCTTCTTTGGTCTTGACTAAAATGTGTCCGTATGAATGAGTGTCAAAAGCTTTCAAGAACTGAAAGCTGGCATCAAATGTCTTTTTGAAGGCTGGATATCTAGGTTACTTATGTTTTGGTTACCGATTGTTCATGATTCTGCACCTATTTCGAACGCGCAAGGAGACAGGAAAAGGTCGGAGGAATTCAAAAGCAACACTTTCAGTATAAAGACAAACGTGTTTCAGCTTGTGCCTTCATCAGCGCCATCATACAACACTTTTTTATTATACTACAACCTTTTCAGTTGCTAATACAAAACATGCCAAAATTTTGGCACTTTTAGACTGTAGTTTATTTATACTGCTTAAAAGTGTTTTTAGATCATTGCCAAAGAGTTCAACTTGAACTCTGGGGAACATCGATCTACATACTGTAAATGTATTCAATCAAATGTAATAGGGTTAGCACTAGCCTTATATAAGGTAGCTAGTGTGCATCACAAGAGCTGGTGTGTGTCTGATTTAAATCTGTGTCAAAATTAAACCAGGCCCCCATGAAGCTGTAGACACTCTTACGCTATTGACTTTAATTGTTAACAGTAAGGTTAATATATCCAATGCTGCAAACCTCCCATCTAGCTCTTAATTAAGCTACCCTATAAACATTAATAAATACTATCTGGCCCGTGGCTGTGTTGCATGATAAGAATAGATTGCCATTCTATGTAATTATAATCTTTATGCACTTGATTTATTCTTAACTGCAATCCAGAGACACAACACCGAGACTGAAAGCTTAGTCAGTTAAATTGTTTTAGCTAATACAGAGCGTCCTCCAGGTCTCTAATGCAATTCAGACTTAGCTGATGCTTCAAACAGAATGATGCCAGGATATAAAATTACATGATGATGCCCACAAACCACCACACTGCACAGATAGCATGTTACAGATACTGTGTATCAGAATCACGACATATTAACTTACAGAAACAAGACATTACAGTGTGTGTGTGTGTGTGTGTGTGTTTGTGTGTGTGAGTGTGTGAGTGAGTGAGTGAGTGTTGTATGTGTGTGTTTGCACTAATTGAACCCAGGCCTGGCTGGCTGGCTGGCATTTCAAAAGCTCATCCAGGGTTTACACAGGACTGTGTCTGACTCAAAGTTCTTCCACTTGTTTTGATTGACAGCTGATTACCACAGATTTTACAGAGAAAAGAGAATATGAGAGTGTGTATGTGTGTCTGTGTGTGTGTCCCACTGTCCCAACCATAGTCTATTTCTGGATAAGGAAGTAAGGAATTTATTCTGCATTGCTGATGAAGGATCATTTGATCTATTATCAGAAACAGGAAGAGTTGAAACTCAGAATGGAACAACAGCTTGTCTGTCCTTGTTTATTCTCTGTTAAAGTCTTTGTTTGTACTGAAGAAGAAGCAACTTCACTGTTTCAGTTCAGTCTCACCACTTATATATTGATTCACTTAAATACTGATAAACTCCTTGAATGCTACCTAGCATACGCTGGCATTTAAAGAACCAGATATTTCCATCAGGAGTTTGTTGAAGACCAAAACAGAGCTAAAAACTGACTGAATATTAGACTTACATTTGTCAGATGGCCAGAACCCAATTTGTTGCTTGTTCTGTATCGGAATTTGAACATTTCTGTCTTTGCTGCCCCCAAGTGGTCACAAGACACATTCATTAGGATAATCACATTTTTCTACAATTTGAAAGATGCTATAATAAAATTTAAATATTACACATCATGACCTTAGACAGCTATTTTTTCCAAAGTCAAGGACGGAATCTAAAGATGTTAAACTACTTGTAATGAGAGTTGACTGCACTGGCGTGAAGTTGATTCCCATGCTTTCTGGATTAAACTTTCATTTTCTACAAATGGTGCTTTCGGACCAACTCTTACCCGTGACAGCTCAGACTCCGAGACAGAGCGGTGTGGCGGCGCATGGCGCTGGTACATGGGGGGGCTGATGTCCTGGTAGCTCGGGCTATCGTCGTCCAGCAGCACAGACCCCACGTCCACTGACTCCTCCTCTTCCTCCAGCTGTGACGTGACGTCTTCCGGGCACATCTGGTGGTCGATGCCATTCTGGCTCAGGTTGCAGTGAACAGCTGCATGTGCAAGAAGGCAAGAAAAATGATGGGTAAGGTTAAAAAAGTACATTCAAGTATGTTTTTCTGTAAGTAGATCTAAATTAGAACTTAGATGTATTTTAACTCTAATCACTTAGGTTGCAATTACTTGAATGTATTGAAGTTGTACTTTTCTGTATAAATGCTTGCAAATAAATTATTTGCAGTGCTTCCAAAATAGATTTATGATTTGCTTAATAGTATCCCAAATTGTTTTTATAATGATCTCTTATCTAAGGTGATTTCTAACTACTTGTAATTTCATGTTACTAGGTCTAATCTGTGAGCATGTTGAATCAACTCAAGTCTTCCCACACTGAATGCTATACCACAAAGATTCCACTAGATGGCAGCAGATAATAATACATTATTGGTCACACTAACATACAGTCTTTAAAATATCCTGTTTTTGCAGACAGTATGCAAGTACAATGTATTTAACCATCAAATGAAACCATCAAATATTAATAAAGATACAAGATGTGTCCTGAGAACTCATTTATTATTACATTAAATTTGTAAACCCAGAATTAGCATGCAGTACTGCACTTCCACACCCATCTTGACTTCACAACAGACATGCATATATATATTCAAGAGGTGGTATTATGCTTTCCCCCTCTCCTTTATTGAGTTATATATCTTTTATGTGCATGTAACAGGTTTGCAAAGTGAAAAAGCCCAAAGTCCAGCCCAAAGGGAGTTCCCATCTCCCACAGAAAGCTCTGCTCTGAACCGCTTGAAAACAGCTCGTTTGTAGTCCAGCCCTTCACTTCCTTTACTTGTGACGTCACAATGAAAACGCGTCATAAAGCTTGCCAAGCAGCTTGCCGGGTCAGGCACGCCCTCAAACCAAGCTAGTCTGAGCGGAGGCCCTTTGGCTCCACTCGCCTTTGTTTGGGATTCCATTGTAGAAATGTTGCACCTGTACCTGCTTCCAGGTGCTTTTTTTCGTATCATCTCACCTCCCTCCAGGTTCCAAGGCAGCTGAGGGATACTAAAATGTAACGTGAAAACATGACAGACTGCTGATTGGTCAGAGAGAATATTCTCTATTCACTGCATCATCATTGCTGCACCAGACAGAGGCCAGCAACAGAAAGTTTTATATTTTACACTTTTCGTATGGAATTTCATCACTAAATCCACTTCTGGGAAGTTTTGAAGTGAGAAATCAGCTGTGTAGATTTATTGTAGAATATTGACAGTTTTAGAAGTGATGGCGGAACAAAAATGTGTTTGAATATTTTCGGAGTTGAGGAGCTCCACAAGTGGCTGTGGGGGAAGCCTGCGCCAACCCGTGGGAGGAGCGTGTGAGGCCGGCCAGCCGCCCGCTCACAGAGCCCTCTGCTCCCGCCGTCACACAGACCGCTGCAGCAACAATGGCAGAGGAAAACACAGCTGGAAGTGTCGCATCGAACATTACGTCGTGGCAGTTGTGTGTGGCGTCGCTATGACGACAAGCTACGCACTATCTCTGGGTACTACCTGCAATGGAAAACAGGGGACGAGTAGAATCGAGTCGATCGATTTGCGCTATGGTAGCTTTTTTTGGCAAGGCAGCATAGATCGTCAGAACACCGGCAACAGTTCAACGTTTCGTCCTAATATTAAGATGTGGAACAATGATGTTGTGGACTTGTGAGTAACTTATACCATCTGCTAGGTTAAGGTCGCAGTCTGAAGCGGCTTTAATTTGGATCACACTACCTTGTTTCTTGCGACCCGCCCTTCTCTGCTTCTGATTGGCTAGCAGTCCTTACCTGGGAACTGCGCATGTGCAACTCCCAACAAAGATTTTGTACAAGTAAGATGCATCACTCTGTAGCTCAAGAGCGGAGCGTACAACAAAGTGTGAAAAGAGGAGCTGCAGCAATGTGCAGTATGAGAAAAATATGGTGTTTTTTGAAAATTAAACCATGTAAACCTGTTCTGGTACAACCCCTAATTAAGATTTTGAACCTGAAAATGAGCATAATACCACCTCTTTAAATCCAGAAAACACAACTACAAATTAAATAGAGCATGTTAACTTTGACTGGATGTGGATGTTTAACTTGCATAACCACTGTAACCCAAGATTGATAACTGAGCACTACAACAGCAGGTTTCTTCTTCAGCCAGAAAGAAGCAACCAACCATTCAGTGAAAGTGATTGCTGTTTTGTTTTGTTAGAATAAGAAAATGCAGAAAATAAAGTGGGCCTTGATGAGATATCAACATTTTTACAGCTGCAAATCCAAGTATAACGCTTACTTGTTATGAAAAATTTGCAGTCAAGTATAAATGTTAGGCAGATGACTTAAAAATAAAGACAGGCCTTAAATTTACTGAATCAATTCCTATCCACGTAAAGCTGTACACTATACTGGAGCTTTAAGTCATATCAGCAGAATGCTTCAATCCCTTCTAATAAACTTGTATCGTACCACTTTGCCATTTCCTCCATGAAGTGATTATTTTTAGCTTTTGTTTTTGTAGGAAGTGTCAGGCTGTGGCAATATTTTAGTCTCATCAGTCGGTGATGCAGGCGCAGAAGTGACAGCTAGCGGTGAATTGTGTGGTGTCACTGAAATAGGCCATTTGTCATCATGCAATCTGCCCACTTGTTCTAAAAACACAGGCGGTTCATTTATGTGGAATGGGAGCCAAAGACCCCTTTCATCACACCTGAAGGCTGCTTCGGCTTCGGCTGCAGCTGAGGATTAAAGGTCAGAGCAACATTTTTCAAAGGCTGCACATTCTGCGTTGCTTAATGGTCTAAAGAGAGCGAGAACGGACTTGAAAACAGAATAGAAGTAAAGCACATACATTTATAGTCTATAACAAAACACTTTAGGCAATGAATCGTATAAAAGCCAAATATAAATTTAAAAAAAATCAATTAATGTTTAAATGTCCCTGGTATCACCAATGGACAAATTGGTGTTGGCGAGGATTTAAAACTATGACAGCCATTTATCGACCAAGCAAAAAAAGAAATCTGTATGCTGGCAGTGCCCAGCAAGCCCAGGAAAACAGCCAATTAGGGACTTATGTCAGGCCACTGTCGCCAAGCAATTACAACAGCTCTGACACGGTTCAGAATGTTTGGGAAAAGACAATAACAACAGCACCAACATCTGTGCTGTCATTTCATAAAACAGGAGCAGGAGTGTGAAAGCTATTGTATGCTCCTGTCATCCTCCTCTGAGGATGGCGATGCTGTCAGAAACAAAGAAGAAACTCAATGTGATTCAGTGAACAAATGCACTGCAAACCACATTTATCCAATGCAAACCTCCCCGAGAGACATTCTTCCCCCCTGACCTTTAATCTCAGCCTCCTCTCAGAATTATATTGAAATTGTTTCAGGCTCAATTTAAAAGAAATCACTTCTTCTACATTTTCATTGATTATTCTGGGGACACAATTTGTTTTTTACAGTATACTGTCAGAGAGCACTGAACCATGTACAGGTTTCTGTTGGATGACTCAAATTGGAGGTGTGGGAATGAATTTATTGCAAGTCGCACACTGTCAGAATGCCTAAAAAAAGAAAACATAAACAAACAAACAAACATACACAGATATACAGATATAGAGACAGATAGAAAGAGAGAGAAACATCCATTCAAAGAAAATCTCATACAAACATGTGTAGGGCAGAATTAGGGCAATCTCCACTGATAATAGATACCCAAAAAACAGCCCAAATCTTTCTAAGATCAGGTCCCCGAGACTCCCTCCAATTCAAGGCTCTTAAAACCCAAGAGCAGAACCCGGAAAAGAGCCCCTTATGCCAGCCCCTTAAGTCCTGAGACTAACAAATCCTGCAACATGTCACACACACTCCTTTCTGAAGCCAGCACTGCTTTACAAACACCAATTAGAGTAAACCAAATGATCACTCAAAGCAAAAATAATTATTTGGAACATTGGGAGGAAGATTGACAAAAAACCAACACAAACTAGAATGTTATCTGGCCCTAAACAGAGATTATGAAATGGCTGAATATCTCCTCACTGTCAGAGATATCGAGCAGAGCAGCTTGTTACCAAGTACATACTCATTGACCACACCCTTGCAATAGAAAAAGGGAGACATAAAAAGTCCTGGTTACCAAGAGAATATAGAGTCTGTGAGCACTGTACGACAGGCGAGGTGGAGACCTCCAGGAGATTTTCTCCTGAAATGTGATAAATATAGAAGCATATAAGAGCAATATTATGAGAAATTCCATCTATTAATACCGGCTATTAAAGAACTTGAAGATAACAATAAATTAAGAATAATACTAGCAGAAGCTTGCTGCCAAGTATGTGTCCCTGTGTCACACCCTGAGGGACAGCGAGTAACTCGCTGCATGGCAGATTACTTTACAGATTATCTTTTTCACTTTTATTTGTAGTTTACATTGTATCTGTATTTGTTATTTTAGTTTTTTTGTAATTTATAACTGCTAAATTGAATGGTTTTGATATGATTCATTGCGCATATTTTTTGGTTTTGTTGCAAACTCCTTTGGCAATAAAGCACACTGAACTGAACTACAACCACAGTGAGGGAACTGGTTGTAGTGTTAGTGTTAAGACAATAAAATGTTATATTATAAAACACAATTGATTTTTAAAGATTAAACCAGTGGTTTCCAATCTTTCTGGTGACCCTTTACAAAAAAAGCAGTGTCTGATTGGGTCACGTCTCAGATGTCTGTGAGTGCGAAGCAGTTCCACCAAAGAAAGATTTCCAACTGAACTTCTCAGATTGTTTCACTTAAATTCAGTTTGAGGCTCAAATAATTTACAAGAACAGCTAAATACAATAAATAAAAGACAAGTAATGGAATGAATAAAGTGTAGCAGAAACTGGTTATTCTTTCCTAAAACACCGATCATCTCATGACCCCTCAGTTTTATCTTATGACTCATTATTAGAGGAGAACTGAACTAAACTTCTTAACTGCACATTAAGTGATTACTGTAAAACTAGCTTCACC